AGGCGAAACGCGGAGCGCTTCTGCCAAGGGGGGGAGGGAGGAAGTGCGCCTGTGCCGTGATTTAGAGCCAGCCGGTAACTCGGCACCACGCAGCTGCTCTCACCCTCGCGTTTCCCTTTCCGGGTGGGATGTGGAGGGGAGCAAAGTATGTAAATCCGACGGGTTGAGATAAGAACAATCCCAAAACTGTAGGATAACATAACACTGCTGCTACTACCACCGCCAGTAATAAGGGGAATAACAAGGGGAGAGAATACAAAATTAAAAGGGGAAAGGAAAATAAAACCTATGAACACAAGTGATGCACAATACAATCATCACCTGCCGACCGATACCCAGCCCGACCCGAGCAGCGATCTGGGCCTTCTGGGTGACTCCCCCCAGTTTCTATACTGGCCATGACGTGCTGTGGTGTGGAATAGCCCTTTGGCCAGTTTGGGTCAGGTGTCCTGTCTCTGCTTCCTCCCGGCTTCTTGTGCCCCCCCTCCTCACTGGCAGAGCATGAGACTGAAAAGTCCTTGATCAGGATAAGTGCTACTGAGCAACAACTAAAACATCGGTGTGTTATCAGCAGGGGCCTCAGACTGAAGCCAAAACACAGCACTGCACCAGCTGCTAGGAAGAAAATTAACTCTATCCCAGCTGCAACCAGGCACTCTGAAGCTTTTTCCAAGAGTTCTTACAAAACAAGTGGATGGGATAACCTCTGTTACCAGTACACTGTCATTTGGACAAACTGTGGTGATAGGCTTGATGTGCTTTGCCCGTGTTTCCCGTAGTGGTATTTTACGTAGGGTAGTCAATTACCAAAACAGGGGCATGCAAAGGATAGAACCGTAATGCTTATTTTCTGTTTTATAGGAAACAGATTGTTTGTCAGGGGCTTTTTGCTTGTTTGTGTTTAATTAGAGCATCTCTAAGGAGCTCTGACTTACAGTACACATGCAAGTTCTGAAAATTCACATCGTCACTTTCATGCTGACCTAGTGTGCTTCCTTATCCACACACACAAGCCCA